TTTCATGTCTAACACTGTCTGATGTCTGCCCTTCACCCACTTTTTTGTGGTCCGTCCCCCAGGGAGGGGTTAAAGGTCGATCATTTTGATCGGTTCCCCCTTTCTTCCCCTTGGAGATTACCTTAAAGAGAAAACAACCACAACAAAGAGCCAGCTTGACACCATTCAGTGCGCTCACGTAAAGCATACAATACATAGGTTTTAATATAGTCCCAGAGATGCACGACTCTCACAGTAGTCAATTGTAGAACATGTGTCATCCCCTCCCTTTCCCTTTAGCTAAGTCTCCTAACCTTCCGGCCAGTACAGCCACTCATTGACTTTCTAAACATCCTATGCAATGTGGCTGTTCTGAGGACTTCCTGTAAATGGAGTCACCTCCCATATGCCCTGAGGGCACAGTGGTTAAGTGCTTGGCTGTTAAGCGAAAGGCCAGTGGTTGAGAGAAAGATGTGGCAATCTGCTTTCATAAAGATTTGTAGCCTCGGAAGCCCCATGTGGCAACTCTACCCTGTTCTGTCCTGTTGGTACGAGTCAACATAGACTACGGGGCAATTGGTTTGAACAGTCTTTACGATGTCCTTGTTCTTGCTCTCAATATACTCTGTGACCTTCAGTATCTGCTGCTTCCACTTGGCCTATTTTCAATGTTCATCCACATGTATCGGAATGGTACATATCCCATTCATGATGGGAAATGAGGCTACGAGGTGCGATGTGATTTATCCACAGCTGCTTCGGTTCATCTGTTAACCACTGGGCTCTCTGCCAGCAACTGAGAACATTTCCCTTGACCTCTTGAGTGAGCTAAGTGTCACCTACCTGCCGTCCCATCAGTTATTAACACGTGATGGATCAGGTGGTCCATCCAGAGATGCCGGGAGCCCACAAAGAGGAGGCGCTTTCTAGAGGAAGGGATTCTGGGAGAAGCACGGCTGGATAGGCCCTTCCAATGAAGCCCCATGATGAACACAGCTCCATCCCCAAGGTCCCACACCCTCAGCTGCACTGATTACTCAAATGGACTGTCAACGATGGATGATACCACCCGGTTATTTCTCCATTGCACGCCACTCCCTCTGACCCCAAGCTCCTCCAGCAAAATTGGAAATGATGACATTATGCTGTTGTAAATTGGTGACAAGTCAGTTCTGGATTATGGCAGCATCGTGTATGATAGGACAAAACATTCAGTGGAGTTTTCAGTGCAAAAAAGTCTAAGATAAAAGACTTGTGATTTACATCTAAAAGCCAAACAACTAAAAAAACAAAAACAAAGCAAAGAACAGACTATTTAAAAGACATTCTAAACCAAAAGAATGCTGGGAGTTGAGCCCCTTATATTAGAAAGGACTCAAAAGAATTCATGGACCACAATAGACTCGAACACTCCAACATGGACCCAATGATCAAGATGACGGTGCAGATCTGGGCAATGTTTTGTTTTGTTGTACACCTAGTGCAAATGGGAGGATGGTGTGTGGGTGTAGGAGAGAGTGAGATTGGGGGCAGAGCGGAGGGGCAAAGAGAGACAGAGGCAATAGTGACCATGTGGATATTGAAGAGTTGAGGTTTGGGACATGCTAAATTTGAGAAGCCTACTAGATATCCATGTGGAGTTGCTGGGCAGATCATCGTAGAAGGCTAAAGAGATGAAAAAGTATAGGACTGAAGAAAATGTTCTGAAATTGATTGTGGTGAAGATAATTATTTTTAATATATTTAAACCAGTGGAAAAGAAAAAAATATTAGGGGGTCATCTGTGTGTAGATAAAATCTGTGAGACTGGATGGGCCCATGAGACCGAATGAAACTCATAAAGCCATGAGACGGCATGGGAGCAATGGAGAGAATAGCACCATAATAGAATAGGAGGCAGGGCCTTTGGATCTCAGATACAGTTCCTCAGATACCTTTCCACTCCACTCTACGGGCAGTTAAGTTTCTTATAATCAACCATTTGCCATCAATTTGATTCTGATTCCTTTAAACTATTCTCCTTAGGGCTTTCAAAGCTGAGTTTTGGGAAGTAGATCACTAGATCACCTTCCTCCCCTGAGGTACCTTTGGGTAGATTTGAACTCCCCACCTTTCAGTTAGCATTTAAATGTGTAATCATTCGCACCACCCAGGAATTAAATTTCTCATAGTCAATACATACATGGACATCCTGGTTTGTTTGGGGTTGTGGGGATTCAATTAGTCTGCCCAAGAAATGTTCCAAGCACCCTGCTGGTCCTGTGCACGGTGCTGAACAAAGTCGACAGGCTGTCCAGCCTCATGAACTTGAAGCTGAAGGGAGAGTCACAGCTGAGCACAATCCATTAGGTGCCTGACTGGTGCTGGGTACTCAACTGCTTTGTAGATTCTTTCTATTTGGGTACTAGGAGGGTCAGAGTCCAAGCTGGTGTTTAATTAGCAAAATGATGAAAGATCTTTGTGTTTTTTCTGTCGTTTTACTCTCCTCTGGGGCTTGTTTGTTGTATTTTGGCTAGAGGAAGGGAACATTTTACCTCAATGTGAGTTACTGAGAAATTCCTGCAAGACCACCCATGATTTCAAGATCAACTAGAAGTATTCCATCAGCACTCTGAGGATTCATGCTCCTGGGCATGGTGTATTGCAGGGACCCACCAGTGTCATGAAGGGAACACTGGTGGCGCAGTGGTTAAGTGCTTGACTCTTAACGGAAATATCAAAGGTTCAAACTCAAGCTGCTCTGCAAGAGGAAGATGTGGAAGTCTGCTTCGGTAAAGATTACAGCTTTGGAAACCCCCTGCGGCCATTCTAATCTGTCCTTCTGGTGTCTGGGAGTCCGAATGAACTTGAAGGCAATGGGTACCAGAGCCATAAAAGACTCAGGATACTGGAGTGTTTGACTTGCAGAGGGATCAGAAGTTGAACCCCAGATAGGTGAGCGACAAAGCTCAGGTCGGAAGACAGCATGTGAAGTAGCGGGTGGAGGAGATCTAAATAGGAAGCCTCCCTCTACCAACTCACATAATCCTGAAGGAGCCATGCAAGCCTGTGAGCTTCAGTTCCTCCGCTGTCAGTCAAGGGGCCCCTGAGCCCTCATGAGGCTGCAACGAGGTAATGTACATGAGGAATACTAGGGGAAAGGCTATTTCACATATATTCCATGAGGGGCAGGGGCGGCTCTGGGTTCCTTAGTCTTTCCTGAAATTGTTTCTAGATGCTCCCCACCCATGTTCTCAGGAGATATTTTTACAGCACAAATTTATAGAAGAAGTCTGGGTTCTTTACAGCACAAACGTATGGAGAAGGACACCTGAGAGCAAATGATGTGTAGTTTTCCTATGCAACTTAAAAGTGAAAACACACATTTTCAACAAATTATAAATACTGCGCAATGCGGCCAACTTTAGGAGCCTTAGCAGCCCCATGGTCAACTAGTTGGCTAGTAACCTTCAGAAGTAACTAGCAGTTCTGCCCTAGCAAGTGGCACCGAGAGAAAATGGCCTGGTGATCTGCGTCCAGCAAGATGGCAGCCTGGGGAAGCCCAGGGACAGTTGTACTCTGCCACGGGTGGGGTGGGGGTGGGGTTGGGTTTGCTACCCATTGGGAATGATTCCACGACACCTGATAACAGCACGATCAATTTGAAACCCCTCTTCATTGGGAAATGAGTTGGCCAATAAGCTGGTAGGATGTTGGGATACGTTTTCATTCTGGACTCTCCTCTCTGCATCATGGTTTAATAAAGTACCCCACTTGGCCACTCGCTAATACGGCCGGTGATTTCTCATAGTGGGACGTTGCCCCTTGACCAAGCACACCAGAGTGCCTTGCGTTGGTCTCTCAGGAGCTGTTTAAAACTCCAACTCAGCACGCAGAGGCTTTCTTACCCGGTGAGCCTGCCTGCTGCTGCTTCTAATTACGATGGCACAGATCTGCACAATACTGAAATTTAGCGTGTTATTATTCTCCTCTAAGGAGCTCTGGTGGCTCTTCAGGTTAGGCAATGGGCTGCAAGGTCAGAGGTTCAAACCCACTAGTCACTACACAGAGAAGGATTTAAAGCCTTGGAAACCCTGTAGGTTGCTGTGATGGTTTATACTCCTCTGGGTCCCTGTATGGTTCACACAGTTTGCACTTGACTACTAACCTAAGATTGGCTGCTCAAACTTCCCTCGTGATTCCTCGAAAGAATCACCGGATGATTTACTGCGGTAGAAATTAGTCAAGAATGAGTCAAGGGCTCAAGTAGAAAGAAACTGTTTTGAAAATGATGATGGCAACAAATGTACAGATGTGCTGGAAACAATCGATGTGTGTCTGGGTTGTGATAAGAGCTGTATGAACCCCCAATAAAATGATTAAAGAAATAAAGAAAGAAATTAGTCAAGAAAACACTCTACTCTGTAACAGAGGGGATTGCCATGAGTCAGACTCGACTCCATCTCAATAAGATGTTTTGTTTCCTTGGTCACTCTCCTCTGTTGTGTTTGTCCTTTCACACAATTTGCCCAGAAGACAGTAAAACCAATCCAGAAAAACTAAATCCAATCCCATTGAGTCCATTCTGACTGATAGCAATCCTATGAGACAGAGGAGGACCTCCCGCTAAGGTTCCCAAGGCTGGCTGTCAATCTTGATAGAAGCAGATTGCCGAGTTTTTCTCCTGTGAAGCTGACTGCTTGATCGCCGTCCCACCAGGGAGAGGGCAGGGCCACAACATCTCCACGAGGAATTGCTCCGAGAGCCTCACAATTTTTCTGGACCGAGTTTGCTCAGGAAGGTCTTGTTCAGGGCGTTCTTCAGCTCCTTGTTCCGGAGACTGAAGATGATGGGGCTGAGGAAGGGCGTGAGGACTGTGTAGGTGATGCCCATGAGGGTGTCTCCTTCCAGAGACTGGGGGCCCTTGGGCTTAAGGTAGATGACAGAGGCGAAGCCATAGTGCACAATGACAACAGTGAGGTGGGACGCGCACGTGGAGAAGGCTTTGTGCCGACCCTCGGCAGAGGGGATTTTCAAGATGGCGGCCACAATGAAGGCGTAGGAGAGGAGGATAAGGAGAAAGCAGCCCAGCAGGGCTGTGATGCACACCAGGCCCACGCCCTTGGCCACAGCTGGCACATTCTCTCCGCAGGCCAGCTTCAACAGTGGCGGCACATGACAAGCAAAATGGTGGATCTCATTGGGTCCACAGAAGGTGAGGTTGAAAATGGCCGTGGTCACCACCATCCCCATGATGGCGCCCCCAATCCAGGACCAGGTCACCAGGTAGGCACAGCCCTGGGCACTCATGAGGACGTTGTAGCGCAGCGGGTGGCAGATGGCCACGTAGCGGTCATAGCCCATGACGGTGAGCAGGAAGGAGTGGGTGAAGCCAAATGTGAAGGAGAAGAACATTTGATTGGCACAGGCTGTGAAGGGGATGGCGGGGCGGGTGGATCGCAGGTCAGCCAGCATGCGAGGGATGATGGCGAAGGTGTAGAGGATCTCGGAGATGGAGAGGGCACACAGGAAGAGGTACATGGGCGTGTGGAGACTGTGCTCGCTCCAGATGGTGGCCATGATGAGCAGGTTCCCCAGCAGCGTGAAGAGGTACATCAGCAGGAACAGCAGGAAAAACATCAGCTGAAGCTGGGGGAATGTGGAGAAGCCGACGAGGATGAACTCCGAAACAGCTGAGTGGTTGACTCCCAGCATGGGGACTGTACCTGGGTACAGAGGTGATAAGAAGGGGGTCAGTCAGTGGATGGATAAAAGTCACAAGCTTCCACCAGACGGGCCCCCTCAAATTGCTTCTGTTGATCAATGATTGTAGCTATCACTGATTGAGTGACAACTTCATGCCTTGTGTAAATTCTCTCATCAATTCAGTGAAGATCACACCTATTTTTAAAACCCTTGTTTTGAGTGTCTTGAGTGTATCCCTGAGAACATTGGGGTAGAGACAGGTTAAGCCACTTGCTCAAGTTGACGTTATGGAAATGATTGAGCCAAGACTTAAACATCTGATTGGGCTGACTCCCAAGACTTTCCCCATATTTTCATTTTGGGATAAAACCTCTATCTTTTCCCCAAATGGAACCCTTGCTTTACCGGAGCATCCAACATTGCCAGCTCACTCTTCTAGTATTTTCTGATCAATCTTCTTTATCCCTCAACTTCAGATACCGTAAGATCCCCCCCCCCCATGGTTACAATCTCTTGGGCCAGCGTCTACTTCTGACTTCATCTGGCTCAATCAGATTCTCCTTCCTTGGTCAACCATGCAGAAATTCTGATATGGGTTGAGTTGTGTTCCCTCAAACTATACCTGTGGATGGAGTTCCTGGGTGGTCCGAGTGGTGAAGTATTTGGCTACTAACCAACAAATTGGTCATTTGAACCCACCCAGAGGTGCATCAGAAGAAAAGGTTGGTGATCTGCTTCTGAAAGGTCATGGCCATAGAAACACTATGGATCACAGTTTTAATCTGAAACCCATGGAGTCACCTTGAGTAGGAATCTAGTGACCGATGCACTTGCAGACGTAATCCTCTTTGGGAATGGGATTTTGTTGTTGTTATGACCATGAGTCCTTATGAGTGTAGGGTGGGTTCTAAACCCCATCATTTCTGCTCTTAAGAGAGCAGGGTAGACACAGAAGCAGGCATATACTGAGAAAGACGGAAGCCATGTGAGAATCCCCAAGAACCAAAGAACATCAAGCCCATGGAAACTGAGACAAGCATCATCCTCTGGAGAGTCAACAGAGAGAGCTTGAATTTGAACTTCTATCCTCCTGATGTGTGAGAAGGGAAATTTATGTTCTTTAAGTCTATCAATACCTGGTCTTGACCTCTTTAAAGTGCTGCAATGAAGGATGTTACTCGGAGGACCAAGGTGCACCTGACCCAAGCCATGGTATTTCAAACACTTCATATGCATATGAACGTTAGACATTGAATAAAGAAGATAGAAGAAAAAGCAATGCATCTGAACTATGGAGCTGGCAAAGCTGATTAAAAGTATCACGGACTGTCAAAAGAACAAACAGATCTGTCTTGGAAGAGGTACAGCCAGAATGCTCCTTAGAGGCAAGAACAGTGAGACGTGGTCTTATGTACTTTGGATAGGTTGTCAGGAGAGACCAGTCCCTGGAGGAAGACATCATACTTGGCAAAAGGGAGGGGCAGTGAAACAGAGGAAGGCCCTCAATGAGATGGATGGACAATGAGATGGATGGACACTGAGATGGATGGACACTGAGATGGATGGACACAGTGGCTGCAACAATGGGCTCAAACATAAGAACAATTATGAGAATGGGGCCGCACTGGGTGGTGTTTCATGCCGCTGTACAGAGGGTCCCTAGGAGGAGAAACTGACTCGAAGGCCCCTAACAAGAACAACAACACACATGGTTCTTAGATTATTTGCTCAGCACACAGATTAAGTACGGTGAGAGAGTACGACATTGATGCAAACCTTCCTGCTTCTAACCCATGTATTATCTTCTTATCCTGTGTGAACAGCTGCCTCTTGGTCTATGTAGAGGTTCCATACGAGCACAATGGAGTGTTCCGGAATCCCCATTCTACTCAGTGTTATCCATGGTTTGCTATGATCCACACAGTCAAAGGCCTTTGCATCGTCAATGAAACCGGTGAAGATATTTCTGGTGTTCTCTGCTCTCACGCAGAATCCAGGTGACATCAGCCATGACGTCCCTCACTACGCACCCTCTTCCAAATTGGGCTGGATGCTCTCGCAGTTCCCTGTCAATGCAATGCTACAACCATTTTAAAATTTCTCTTCAGCAAAATCTCACTTGCATATGCTACGAATGGCATTGCTCGGCAATTTCCACTTCCTGTTGGATTACCTTTCTTTGGAATGGACACAACTATGGATCTTTTCTTGTGACCAGGCATCTGGCTTCCACATTTCTTGGCGTAGATAAGTGACCCTCTCCAGAGGTGCACCGGTTGGTTGAAACGACTCTATTGGTCTTCTGTCAGATCCGGGAGCCTCGTTTTTCACCAAAGCCATCAGTGCAGCTTGATCTTTTTTCTTCAGAACGATTGGTTCTGTATGACATGTTACCTCCTGAAATGGTTGAATACTGTCTTCAATTCTTTTGGGCTACAGTGACTCTGTGTATTTCCTTGCCCAATACTAGCAACCCAAAGCCTTTTTTTGGGGTGGAGCTTGGCAGGTCTGAGACCAGCCCTAAGTTCACTCCCCCTCAGACTACCTGCCCTCCACCAGGAGTGAGCGGGCAGAGGCCTGAGCCCGCTGGTTTTCGAAGTGTGAAGTGACAATGAAGTGTTTGCTCCTTTGGACCGAATGCCTGCCTGCCCAAACAGCAAACAAATAAACACCACCACCACCACCCATAGCTCTAGGGGTTAAAATTTCACCTCTTATTCTGGGAAGGCACAATGTAATCCATAACTACCGCTAAAAAAGAGTTAAGGAAAGGAAGTCACGTGACTCCGAGCAACGTGCCAACACAGACACCCTAGCTGCCCTCCCCTGGGGTAGCGGTCTATAGTCGCAGGATACACAAGAAAACCAAGCTCGTGGTCATTGAGTCAATGATGCTTCAGAGTGACTCCCTCTGGGTTTCTGAGACTGTAACTGTGTATAGGAGTAAACAGTCGGTCTCCCTTAGAGCTGCTGGTGGTCTCGAACTGCTGACCATGTGGATCATAGCCCAACACATAACTTCTACGCTGCTAGGATCAGCAAAATGGAAATAGGAGTTAATAAAGTTTGAATCCCTGCTCTGCCGGCTGGGCTATTTTGAACAAGGCTTTCCATCCTCTCTACACTTCAGTTTCCTTCAACCCCCCTCAGAGTATAAATATCATGGAACAGGAGCCCTGTTCATGCAGAAGTTAGGGACTCAGCTTGAACCCAAAGGTCAGGAGTTGGAACCCAGCGGTAGCTTCTTGGGAGAAAGACGTGGCAGTCTGCTTCCATCAAGGGTACAGTCTTGTGAACTCCATGGGGGCAGTTTTACACGGCCTGACAGGATTGCTGTAAGCAGACCTTGATTTGACAGCAATGGATTTGATTTGACTTGGGCTGGATTCTTGGGATGGTGACTACATTGATAATTAAATCAATACAATAAATAAGCAAATGTACCTGGTTTGTGCCCAGTAAGTTGCTCTGACTTCATGAGATTCCAGAATATCTCCTTGAGCCACTTCCAATGATCTTTCTTATTGTCGTTGCTGCTGGGTGCTGTCCAGTTGGTTCCGACTCGTAGTGACCCTTTGCACAACAGGAGGAAACACTGCCCAGGCCCACCCCGTCCTCGCAGCTAGTGCTGTGGTTGGCCTGTTGTTGCCTTCACTGTATCCATTCGTCTTGTGGCGGTCTTCCTCTACTTCATGGATCTTCTACCTTGCCACGCGCGAGGTCCTTCTCCAGAACATGGTCACGCTTGATAACACGTCCAAAGTACTTAAGACAAAATAGCACTATTCTCCGTTCTAAGGAACATTCTGTGTGTACGTCTTGCAAGGCACCTTTTTTCCTGGCCATCCCTGGTATTATTTGGGTGGTTCCGGCTCATAGTGACCTGCTGTCCAACAGAAGGCAACCCTGCCTGGCCCTGCACCATCCGCACCATGGTCACGTTTGAGCTCGCTGGGGCAGCCGCTGTGCCCACCCATCTTGTGGAAGAGTTTCCTCTTTTTCGCTCCCCTCCACTTTCCCAAGCAGGATGTCCTTCTCCAGGGACTGGTCTCTCCTGATGACATGTCCAAAGTACGTGAGAAGACGTCTCCCCATCCTCACGTCCAAGGAGCCTTCTGACTGTACTTCTTCCCAGACAGAGCTCCTTGTTCTTTTGGCAGTCCGTGGAACTTTCAATAGTCTTCACCTGCACCGTCGTTCAAATGCACCAATTCCTCCTGTCGTCCTGATTTGTCGTCCGGCTTTCACATGCACGAGAAGACTGAACATACCACGGCTGGGGTCAGGTGCCCCTTGTTTCTCAAAGTGATGTCTTTGCTCCTGAATACGTGAAAGAGGTCTTTTGCATCCGATTAGTATAAAAGTTATTAAACAGAAATCTACTTCCTGTCTCCAATTAATATAAATGGAGTTGTATGACAGGAAGTGTTTATGTCTGGCTTCGCTCAGTCAGCATCACGTTTTCAAGGTTCGTCCACGTGGGAACTCGAAGCGATCCTTCATTTCTCTTTTTGGCTGATTAACACCCCAAGGTCTGGAAGGACCACCATTTGCTCATCCAGTCTTCTGTTGATGGACACGTTGGCTCTACCTGTTGGCCATTGTGGGTAGTGCTGCTATGAACACACGTGTATGAGTGTAAAGCAGATTGCCTGTTGCCAGGGACTGGGGGAGACGAGACTGGGGAGAGCCACTAATGGGCATGGCTATTCCTTTGGGGATAATGAAAAAGTTCTGGAACCAAATGGTGATGCTGAGCTATCCAATGCTACGGAATTGTGCTCTTGAAAGAGGTTCACAGGCAGAATCTGTGCCACAAGCATTTTACCACAATAAAATGAGCCACTGGGTGACGTCCTCCGATCCCTGGGAAATACCCCAGACCGATGCAGGTGGTTTACCATGGGCTGATTCAACTCACGGCGACGCAGGAGGGAAGAGTGAAGTTACTTCTAGCCTGTGATCTTTCCCAAGCAGATGGCAGGTCTTTCTTCTGAGGCACCTTAGGTGTCCTTGAATCACCCACCTTTTAGTTAATAGCGGAGCCCATAAGGGTTTAGGCCACCC